TTTTTTTTTTTATTAGTTTTTTTTTCAATGAAAGGCACACAGCTTCACTGAAGGAGAGAATTTTCCTTTTTTAATAGTTTAATTATGTGTTTGTTGGGGGTAAGCTGCAGCTGGAGGGAGCTTGTGTGTAGCATTAAAAACACTAAAAGAGCAAATGGCTCTGAAAAAAATTATCGTTGAAGGGCTGAATACAATATCGATGGTCGAGAGATTCGTTCGACCTTTGGGGTCCAACTGTCGCAATCGTTGCCATTTCATAAACTAAATCCCTGTAGATGTTTAATCTTTTTTCTTTTAAAGGACGGGGAAGCTTTTGTCAGTGCCACAGTTATTGCCAGCTGTGAAGATGTGCCCTGATGCATTATTCCCTTTTCTAGTGTGATAAGCATCTCCTTGTCCAATGATCGGAGCCGATTTTATCATTTTCTCTCTTGTAGCAGTCTTCATCTGTGAATGTAGTTATACAGGTTTTATTTTTTTAAGTTTTGTAAGCTGAATCCTCTTTTAGTCTGAAGTTTTGTTTCATTCCGTTCAGCACATTCTTGCTGCAGATGGTCAGAAATGGTAATTCCTGAAGCCTTGTTGGTCACTTCAGTTCCAGGGGTGTGTTGACTGGTGGGGATGTATGGTTGATGGAGGTGCGGATGGAGATGAGATGGTCACTCTTCTTATAGTGTAGGATTCTTGTCCTGTTGGGGAACGGTTTTGTGCTTCTTCTACTTTTGTCTTGAGACTAAACTCATCCTTGCTTTTTTCTTTCCCACTTCAGTGTTTGCTGCCTTATTACCGGTAGATGTTTCCTGTAACTTGCCTTGGACTTCAGTTTAAATCATTGCAGTTTTAAAAATTAGCCAGAAACGGCTGTCATTATAGGATAAAAACATTACTTTAAGTTTATATCTCTCTCTGTGACATTAACATACTTTTTACATATGAATTACATGAATTAAATGCTTGCTTATATTCTTATTCTACCTGCATTTAAACTGCCGACATTACTGAGTGAAATTCTCTGACTTCACAGCCGGAGCTAAAGTTGGCAGATCCCATCTGCACTTACATTTTCTCAGTTCTGGTGCTCTTCACCACTGTCCGCATCATTCGAGACACAATAATCATTGTACTTGAAGGTAAGTCCTGTACCCTTAATTTTTTTTATTTGAGACTCTATCACAGCGAGAGTTCTATGTGATGTTTCTATCCTGCCTTGCAGGTGTTCCCAGACACTTGGACACTCAGAGAATCAAGGAGGACCTCCTTAAGATGGAGGATGTCCAATCTGTCGATGAGCTGAATGTCTGGGCGCTGACGGCTGACAAGACTGCAGCTCTGCTGCATCTGCAGCTCAGTGAGTAGCCTCAATTATTCTGTAATAAGGTTAGGAGATGTAGGGATTACTTACCTCTTCATTTCCCTGGAGGAATTGTGCTCAGTGTACGGATATGTGCTTTTATCAAAGTTAGAAAAACTCTGCAGGTCCTCAGTCTAAATGTGTGCAAACTCCAACTTCATAGAAGCAGAGACACACTTTACAATTTGAAGGAACTTTATTGAAGAGTTTCCCAGCTGACTTTTAGGGAGCAAGCTGCAGATTGTACACTAGAGGGAGCTGTTCCTCCATCTCTGATGCCATTTTACTGCACTGTCACTCCATGTCTGACATTCACACGTTTTTGGTTCATTGGTGAAACATAAAGAACAAGCAAGATGATGAGTATCTGTGTGAGATATTTAAACACATTTTGATCATTTAATGCACAGACTTGTCTTTGGAGTAGTATAGTGGATATGAATGGATGCTGAAAGTGACAGAATAGATTAATAGAAAAAGAGCTAGTTTTTAGAGACCTGGATTATTTTCACGCCTAAGGTGATGATTCACTTCAGCTGCTGCAGGTTTCAAATTGGATCTGTGCGTGAGTGTTTTTTTTTTCTTTCTTTTTTTCTTTTCCAGTTCTAGGCTGATGGAGAAAAAAATGAATTGTTAACATTTATTTCCCCCTCATAGATGTTAGGGTTTCTTTGACACATGTACAGCATAGATCATTAAAGAAGTCCCTATTGTCAGACAACTATTACATGGTAAAATAAAAATAGAATTTTCAAATGCAGATCCCTTTCTATATTTTGCGAGGTAAAAGTAATTCAAAGCAGCCTGGGGTTATGTTAAGAAAAATTAAATGGAAAATATACAGGATTACTTGGCTACTCTTCTCTTTAGGGACGTTTTAGTTCAGCTGTGCTGAAAGGTTTTATTTAAGCAGGAAACCGTTTCAAAACATTCATTGGGTTTTTTGAGCCATTTAGAGTCTGACTTGAACAGCTAACACATTATCTGTTCAAGTCAGAACAAAAAGCTGTTTTTGTTCCATCTTAACAGTTCACGGAATATTTTCCTCAAAGTCTTTCATGTCTTTCTGATGATTTTTGGGAATTATGTGTTCTTTTTAACCAGCATATTTTTTTCTTTTCCTCTGAAATCTCTCATTGAGACCATTTTATTATCTCTCTCCTTCTGAATACCTCAGATTAGAGCTCCTATCCTTTTGCCTTTAACTGAGTGAAAAGTAAGACCACTGTTTTGGGTAGTAAAGGAGCAGCCTTAAGCTTTCTGGACTTCACAGAATAATCACAGAATAATATATCTATATTTTGTTAAACTCCTTGAGATGAGCTGCCACACAATCGTGGGCATCTGTAAAGCTAATGGTGGAAAGGAATATCAGAAGCTCTCTATGGTAAAGAACTGCTGATAGGAAGCATACTGCACACTTTTCCTTGTTCCTGTCTCTTTCCTTAAGCCCTGTGTCACACCTTTACGATTTAGCCAGCATATGCCTGACATGAAAAATCCGGCAAAAACTCTGGCATATGTTGTTATGAGCACGCTGAATCAGGCTGAAACACGCTGGCACACGTCAACATACTGCAATTTCATCGTATGAAAGGTTTTTTTTTATATTAAATGCAAAATGTTTTTTAATTTGGGTATAATTACTCATCTAAGCGAGTTGCTCTGTCAGCTAAAAGCATATTTTACAGATTCTATACTTCATTTAACGATTACTAGGTTAAAGATTATTTAATTCTTTTACTCTAGTAATAGAGGTTAAATGCAGTGTTCAAAAGTGTAGAATTTCTTTTTGATATTTTTTTGGTGTGGAAATGCTACAAATAAAGTGTATTAATTTTAACCAAGAGTCATTATAAGACTGTATAAATCCTGAGCTAGTTTGTAATCTTATACCTCTGTCTCCACAGCTCCCTCTAGTGCCAACAACTGGGAAGACGTCCAGGCCAAGGCCCGCCACCTGCTGCTTCACACGTACGGCCTCACCAGATGCACGGTGCAGGTCCAGACTCACAGACAGAGGACAGTACGTAGCTGCGCACAGTGTCAACAGCCCAGTGTCTGAGAATCCTCCTCACGCCGACACAGGCTGTTCATTCCAGTGGAGGCAGAGATGAGCAGATACGCAGGGGCCTGGATGCCTCGGTTGCAGCAGTAAGAGCTGGAGAGTACAGACGTAGGTGGAAACCAAGGGCGGTGCCAAATCTGTCATTGAAACAACAACAGATGCACGTTTCTAATTAAAGGAGAGCTGCAGCCCCTGGGGACTTGATGCCCTTGTGCTTGCATAGCTCTTATTGGGTGGAATTTGACCTTCAATGCTGAAAAAAAAAAATCTGAAAACTTGATCTTAATTCACCATTAAAGCCTACCGCAACAGATGACTTTCTTTGCAGTAAAGGGTTTTGTTTTATTTCAACTGATGAGATACGGAAGTGTTATTCAGTGTGTTGAAGCTGGATACTGTGATTTCAATAATAAAAAGAGATCAGCACTTTAGATTTGATTTTGTAACTGGGCACAGTGCACGTAAGCTTAACTTATCATGAGCACAAAGAGTACCAGCCTTACATTTGTTTAATTTAGCCTTTTTTTTATTTAACATTACACCTGGTATGTGTTCACTCAAAGTCTGTTACCAGGCAGATCTGATTTGTTTCTGTAAAGAAAACCAATCATCCTTAAAACAATGATGGTGGCTCCAACACTTGTATAACTTGATATTTTAGTGATTGTACTGCTACAAGAAAATAAAGTGCTAAATATCAATAAAACCGATATTATTAACAGACAGTATAAAGATGAGTCTAAAGCTCTGAATTTAAAGGTTTTGATTTTTCAGAGTTGATGTTGGCCAGTTACGGTGTTTTCTGGATAAATGAGGAGAATGATCTCTGAAAGTATAAAATGACTGCACCAGTGTTTTGTTTTAAATAAAGTTTAAAGTTGTTTTTTTTTGTCCATCTGTTGTGATTCTTCTCACAAAGTTATATCAAGCAACAAGGTAGGATGTTTCAGATCATTAAATATAATATCAGAATCGGCTCATTGTTGAAATTTGGATAATCAGCCAGTACTGTGAGCTGGTGAAGCTTCCTGTCAAAGGTCTCTGAAGCTGAAGTCCACAAACTGACTTCTTCATGGGGTAATCAAACTGATGCAAGATGTGTAGTCTTATCTTGACCACACAGTCTACTGACCGGTTTGCCTTTTAAGCAAACTGCAGAAGGTTCAGTGAGGAAGCCTGGAAAGTCCTTCAGATGGTTGGGTTTCTCAAAGGATTCAAATAAGACCAAAATCTGTTCATCAGACCTGTACTCATTTTAAGGGTACAACCTGACAAAGACTCAATGACTTGCTGAACTGAGTTAACATGGCAGCCAGTTGAACAGTACTGAGTCCGATGCTGTTGGAGCAAACACGCCTCCTCACAGAGCTTTAGTGCAGACATGGGGTCAAAGGTGAGGGGCTGGCCCTTTTAGCAGGGAGTGAGAGGCTGTTGTCAGTTTATTTGGGGGTTACCACACTCTGAGGGTTGTATGATGTCACAGGTTCATTGAGGGTATTTGGGTCTGTGGGGGCAGGCTGTTGAAAATCAATTTAACACATACAGTCTAAGCAGACCTGTAGCGTATCCTCTGTCCACTTAGTTAAAGTTCCTACCACAGGCTTATACTATAATACTTCGGTCTTCACCTGGATAACAAACTCGACCGGAGATGCAGCTATGAAATCGTCTACAAGAAAGAAGAGAGCGAGATGATGAGGAATAGGATGGAAGGCAGTGTATGTAAGGGGCCCAGATGGCTGCTTTAAATACTGTCTCTGGAAAATTCATGAGTGGCGTCAGACCAAGATTAACTCAATTCACAATTCAGTTTTTTCAAACTGCTTAATTTACATTAGCAGCTATTCAAAATGGTCCTTCCCATTCAAATGGAAACTTCCATTCAGCTCCCTGCAAAATCTCTTAACTGCCATCCAATAAACCTCCATTTTTTACTCTGGCTAGGGATAACTTGGAAGATCTGCATTGTGGTAAACCTGTTAAATTACCAATTAAGAAGATAGCCACATTTTTTAAAAAGGTGAGAGAATTCCCAGTCGCCACACCCAAGCAGAGGCTCTGCAAGACCTGTAGGATCAGAAAATGACTTAGATGCTACCTGTGTGACATCATGGAGTAGGCTATAATATCCTGATAAACAACACATCAGACCCCAAGCTGAGATTAAAAAGCATGAGAGAAATAGTAATTGAAAATGTCAATCTGTAAAGAGCTGCAAAAAGTTATTTTCTATTGGTTTGAGACTCCATAGAATCACAGTAGGAACCATTATCAATAGAAAAAAATGTAGAGGAGTAGGGAAATCATTGCACTTACACATCTCCAAAGTTTCCATCCTAGAGCAAAAAAAGAACACTGACAGCACTGCCGCTTGTCTCAGACAAGATCAGTGCTTATTACTTGCCAACAGAGAAATTGGGAGAAAAACATTTTAAAGGAAACGCCACTGGGCATTATATAACAAATATCAAATATATCCTTACAGTAGCATGGTGATAACCTCTAAGACCTTTAGACATAAGGATGGATCATTTTCCTTATGATAATGATCCATCTTCAGATCCAGCTTTGGACGGTTCAAACAAAAGGAAAGCAAATGTATGGTTCAAAACTGGCCTAATTAAGGTCTGGACTTAAATCTCAGTCCCCATGGTATGACATTTTTTCGCCATTACATATTTCATTTAGCTTGGGGATTAATAAAGTAATTTAGCATTGAACTGATTTTAAAAGATACTTAAAACCCTCCCATTTTGATAAATTTGGGAAAAAAAGATGCAAATAAAGGTTGCCCCTAATCGAAAAAAATGTATCCTCCTTGATGCAAGGGACCGTTTCAAGTTACCCCAAATACTTTACAGTTATCATAATAGATAAACAACTAATGATTGGATTTAAGAAACATTTCATGTTAAGACCACTTTGTTTAACCAGAATATATATATGTATATATATATATATATATATATATATATATATATATATATATATATATATGTGTGTGTGTGTGTGTGTATAATTTAAAGAGATAGATTAACTAAGGTCTTTGTCGTATCTTCAAATTTGTTTTATTTTATGTAACTATACCTGTGACGGAAAAATAACATATAACCTTTAGCAAAGCTTTAGTGCTAAAATTAGTCATTAACCTAACCATTAATCTTAAATTCAACAATTAAAGATTGGAAATGACCAGATTTAGATAAAAGAATGATGCAAGTTTTTTTTTTATTTTTTTTTTATTTTTATGTATGGTTCGTTTATCAACACCAGGGGGCGCAGATGTTAAGTTTTGTTTTGTTTTTTTTAATGAAAAATGAAAGAGTGGAGACAAAACAAAATTAGCTTTAGGGGAGTCATAAAATGTACTCCCAGCAGGCATTTTATTGATAAACCTGCTTATCCACACATACAAAGCAGCACATTTAAGCAGCTCTGAATGTAGCATGGGTGTTTACAGCTGACGAAGTGATCTGAGTATCTAAGAAACCGATGCTCTTCTGGGATTTTTTATGACCAAACCTCTGTCAGCAGCTGAAGTACACCTCATAAGCCATCTCTCTTTGAAGCAGGAAACAGAGGCTACAGTTTAAACAGAGATGCTGAAAAATGCAAGATATGTCTGTGCTCTAATGGCCTTTCAAGGTCAGTGGATCAAATCCTATAGAGTACTGCAGGGAGGTGGTCGAACTAGAGATGGATCTTTGGCTGAAAAAGCTGCAGCACATAAATGACTTACATATGTCAAAATAAACCAAAACTCTGATTTAAAAAAAAAAAAGTAAACAAAACACCATGAAAATAAAGGGCAACGCTTAAGAAAAGCTGAATCAGGAACTAATAATGCCTGATAAAGTGGACGGTGATTGTATCTATATATATATATTAAGTAAAATTATGAAATGTCTTTAAAATTAAAGCTTAATATATGAATATCAAAGAGCACACTAGCTAAATGAAAAAGCCCTCCTTTGATAGCTGAAACATTCCCCATATCAGAGTAAGTGTTTAAAGTTCAATTATATAAAAGGTTTATAATTGATAGGATAGAGCTGGTTTCCAGGCGACAAGAGTGCAATAAAATCCCAAACAGTAGGTGATTATTTGTTTTAGGAGAAGGAAACTATATCCCTCCATCTCCACAGCCTTACCTTTATCATAAAACACACAAACTATTTGTTCTTTACCCTGTCTGAGAGGTTCCATCACACAGTTTAATATATTTAATATATTGTGAGTTAAGTGTAAAAACAACGATTTTAAGAAAACCACATTTTTATGTCTAATTCCAGCTGTTGCTTAGTGTTTCAGTTGTCTGTCACATGGTCTGTGGTGTCATGGTCGTGCAACGCAGTCACGTACACATTATTTGAAGGCACACACATGTAGCACTGTGTCCTTCCCCTCTCATTGTTTCTGTAAATAACTTATCAGTTGAACATAGCATGATGGGTGAAGCTGTGACAGAGGTATGGCCCCTCTGTCAGGGGGTGGGGGGTCCTATTTTCACATAGGAACCATGGTGGTGCTTACAGACATACAAGTGTCTGGGCGAGTCTGAGCTTGTCTTTCTCTTCTTGAAATTTCAATTGTTAAAATTTCCTGGAGCAGCGTGACGGCGTATGAAATATGGACAGTTAAGGAGGTGGGGGCAAGAAAAGCGAAACCAAAAAGAAGTCACACTTCCTTAATACACACAAGGAAATAAAGCTCTTGCTCCACCTTTACTGTTTGCATTCCCTCCCTTTGTTTAATAATTCATGAGACAGCCGTTCGCTGTCATGGATATCCAGCTGAACAGCAGGTCACTTACAGCCAAGGGCCGCTTTCTGGGACACATTTTCTTATTATTTGCTCTCTTTATCTCATATCTCTATAATAGGATATACAAAGGACTAGCTCTCTGAAACATAATAGCCCTGAACATCCATCCACCAATGAGCTAAGTAGATTAGTTTTTTCCTGGATGACATTTATGACTTTAAAGTTTGCCTTACTGAGAACATTTCCTGCTAAGCAATGTTTTCTGAATGTAACATGAAGCGAGATAAGCAAGCTTTTAATTCCTGTGTTTGCTCATGTGAACAAAGCAAGGAGTTTAAACTTTCACTTTTATGTCTGTGTTTCTGTTTATCTGATGTTATTAGTTTACATTTACTCAAAATATCTCAGAGAGACAAAGTGAAAAGACCTTTTCAGGATTGTTTTCTAATTTTCCAAGACAATGAAAGCAGGTCAATATAATACGTAAATGCTGACTCTATTTGAAATGAGATTAAATGTTTAATTGTCCACCTGCTGAAATAAACTGATTATTTATGTTAACAAACATGCCTACGTAAGTTGTCACAATCAAATGTGCATTTTAAATAAACAATGCAATGTTGTGAAGTCAAATAAAATGTCTGAAGAACTGAGAATCAGGATCAGATCATGATGCCAGTCTGGGAATAATTAAAAAGAAAATCTGCTGACGCTGAATGCCCTTTTTTTTCTTCTGAACTTGATCATCACAACCTAATAATTCATCTGATTTCACATGATGGTTGGAAATTGATCTTCCTATTTTTTAAACTATAAGGAGGACATGTCGGATCTAAGATTTGAGAAATAAAAATCCTCAGATTGCATTTTCCAAAATGCAATTATGTTGAATCCTCAGGGTGTTGGTCTGCACAGTGTGGCTTCACCACCTCTCATTACTGGATGTGACCAGCAGCCTGTTCCTTACAGCCGTTCCTTATCACGTATAATTAGGAGGTGCGTAAAGAGGACTGGGCTCCATGAGACAGATTACCCATTATCATTCCCATGGTAGCAAATAGGATTTTGGTCGGTATAGTATAATTTATCAATGTTCCTT